TATTCTTTCTGAATATAACTTTACGATACACTTAATTTCAACATTCGCGCTAAAACAAACGCTATAACGAACGTTAACTTCAACAATACTCTGACTGCAGATCAATTACTCACTACCTACACACACTATTGTCCCGTCACGTTGTCACCCTCTTATATATACCAGACTACCCTATATCTAGTAAATGCTAGGGCATTCACGAAGGAACAAGATAGTTCTAGAAACGTGGCTTGACACTAGTCACGTGACCTCGCTGACGCAACACTATAATATTGCGTTTAGAAACATCAGAAACAAAACACAAATTAATGTATTAGACAGAAAATAAATATTTTGAAAAAGTTGTCAACCCTTTGGTTATTTATTCATTGATCAAAAACCCTGGACCAAAACACAACATTCCAAATAAGGCCTAATTAGTAACTTGCATTAAGATAATTACATCCTTTGACTTAGAATCAATACGTCTATAAGCACACATGAAATTTTTATTAGCTTTACTACTATCAACAGAGCACTCATTGTTTCGATGGTTTGATTGACTTATTCGCTACCATGACAAAATCATTTTCTTCAGCCACGCTATTCAGTCGGTTCCTATCTATATTAAATGTGTGATCCAAATTATGATAATTCAAACGAATTACCAAGCATTTACTATGAATAATTAGAAGTAATTTATCAATATTTGTCCAATTTCATTCTGCGGTATCTCAATACAGTTAGAAATACCCAAGATTTTAATGTGATCAACAGACTTTACCAGCTTGATAATTATACTCTTACTAATATCATTAATTTAAATAAGAAAAGGTAGAGCCACAAGCATTGACTCCTGAAGTATTCCACCAGTAACAAGGGTCCAGATTGACTAGACTTCATTAATAACAACCTTTTGCTTTGTCCTGTCCAATCATTCTACAGTACAATTAACTAGTTTTCCCCAAGACTCACCGATGTAATTTTCTTAGTTTACATTTTGTGTTTCACCTTATTAAAAGCTTTTTGAAAATCTAAATCCACAAATATTCCATCGTCCAAATAGAATGTGGTATCTTCACAAAAAGATAACAGGTAAGTAAGACAAGATATCTATCCCATTGGTAAATCAACGTCAGCTTTCATTTATACTATTTTTCAGTAAATAGTTTTTCAAGCTGTTTTTATCAGACTCTCGAGAATTTTGTCCACTATAGACATAAGACTAAATAATTTTCAAGGCAACTCTTGTCATGCCCTTTAAAAACAAAAGAAAAATTAGCAAACTCTCCAGTTCACAGACACCTGTCCATTAGACTTCCAAAAATGAAAGAAAAAGGCTCGCGCATCTGACCTCTAGCCTCCTTTATACCTGAGGAAAACCTCCTGTGGTCCTTGTGCTGGTCTTACGAATTGATACTTACATTAATCAGGTCATTTCCGATATTTCTAACAGAATGCCTAAGGTAAGGAATCTTCTCTTGTATTTGTTTGTTGTTGTTGAGTACAAAGCGACACAATTGGTTGTCTGCCAAACACGGATATCGAAAATGTTATTTCATTAGTTTAGCAAAGCTCTAAAAGTTATTCAAATTATCTTTAAAGTATGAATTAGTAAATAAATGAAAGCCCCACCGGTGGCACAAGCGATATGCCTGTAGACTTTTAACGCTAGAAGCCGGGTTTCGATACCCGTGGTTGGCAGAGCATAGATAGCCCATTATGTAGCTTTGTTCTTAATTCCAAACAAACAAATAAATGAAAAATAAATTAATCAATCAAAAAAAGGTAAATCGAATGTTAAAACAGAATGAATGGAGCTTTAAAGGATGTGGTTGATTTTTTTTGTTGTTGTTGTTGAAAACTATGAGATGGTTGAGCATTTAAATATATTATTCTCTTACTTTTATAAGAGAAAGCATCTTGGTAGCTCAGATATAAGTCTAAGAACTTATAACGTTAAAAAATTGGTAAAATATTTTGTATCCAGAGTGGTTTTTTTCATCTGCTGCTAAGAGCTCATATATCACTTCTGTAGCTTTGTGCAAAAACGGGGGGGGGGAACATTATGGATATGTCATGAAACGTAAGTGCATGTTAAATAATGCTATGCCTAACAAACAACAGTTGTAGTGAGTGTTGATTCATAAAATTCATAAAACTTTAAAGGGACAAAAAGGAGATTATTAGCCCATCAAAGATGTCCCTTCCAGCTCCCGACTATAACCACCCTTTACTACTAATTTATTCATCCAATCTTTTCTTGAACTCAGTTAAATTTTATACCTCTGCCACCCTTGAATGCAGCTCATTTCAAAAGCCAACCACCTTGTTTGAAAAGTAATAATGTATAGTATTATAGTGACACATATATGCCCTTAGTGACACATATAAGTACAGCTGTATGTTTGCAGAATTACAACGCTAGAAACCAAATTTTGACACCCGTGGTGAGAAAAGCACAACTAGCCCATTGTGTAGCTTTGTACTTGAAATCAAACAAACAAACACTATTGTGAAAAAAAAATGTACCAGTTTTTCACTCTGGAAATCTGGTAACCCAATCCAAGAGTGATTGTAGTTAGTTACATTTCTCTTCCAAATGACACTGTTTGTTTGTTTTTTGAATTTCGCGCAAAGCTACACGAGGGCTATCTGGGCTAGCCGTCCCTAATTTAGCAGTGATACACTAGAGGCAGGGCAGTTAGTCATCACCACCCACCGCAAACTCTTGGGCTACTCTTTTACCAACGAATAGTGGGATTTACCGTCACATTTTAACGCCCCCACGGCTGAAAGGGCGAGCATGTTTGGTGTGAGAGGGATTCGAACCCGCGACCCTCAGATTGCGAGTCGAGTGCCTTATCCACCTGGCCATGCCGGGACAAATGACACTGAAATTTCTTTTTTTTTTGTTTTCTTAAGCATGTCTCTAAAGTGTCCCGACTTTACACATCATCAATCATAATACCTGGTCGAATTGTTCTAATTAAGTTTGCATGACAACGAGTACATGAGCCCCTGGTTAGTTCGGAAATCGACTGTTTGGATTATTTATAATCCAGGTAAATTTTCATATAGATATAGTTTCCCATCGATAAATGTAAAAAATAATCCAATAGTATACTTCATTTTCGAATCTGAACAACTATTTTGTATAGTAGGCATGCATTTCCTATG